GGATCAGGAATGATTACACTCATAATAACATTGTAATTCTAGAACAGGATTACGTTTCCGAAAGTTTTCATGTAAATTGACACCATAAAGGAGAAACTATTCGGGTCGTTTTAACAATGTTAATGATAAAAAAGATACTATTGGTGAAGGTGAAGGTGTAGGTGTAGGTGTAGGTGTAGGTGTAGGTGTAGGTATAAGTGTAGATGAAGGTGTAGATGTAGGTATAGATGTAGGTGTACATATAGGTGTAGGTGTACATAATGAATGAATGAATGATCTTTATTTCCTCCATTAGTTTCGGAGAGTGATATACATTTGGAATCATGTTAACATATTTACACGAACATTATGCAGAGAAATTGGCAATACTGAATATTCACATGTCGCGGTCCTGGTATGAGATATACTGTCTATAAGATAGAGCACTGATCGCAGGTTCCAGGAGCTTATGTCTCGTGATACAGAAGATATGAATTCAGCCCAGCTATCAAGGCTCATATCCTCTACAATAGGGGTTATACCACCTAACAATGTCACAAGTTTGACTTCGTCATCTGCACAGTCCTCAATACACATGTATTGTTCGAGGTTTAGAGAGTCAAATAGATGTTCATAGAGGGTGTTCCTTGCATCAGCTAAAGCTGTACAACATAGCAGTTGGTGCTTTATTATGTCATCGCACTCCTCATCACGCATTAAACACTGTCCAGGTGTTATTGGTAGTGTTCCTAGCTTCACAAGTGCGTACATTGGTCTAGTTGGTATATTGTACAGAATACACATATTCCACAGTCTATGAGGTACAAGCTTACTGTGAATTTTAATAAATCTGTTTAATTCAGGGTGATCTCGCAGACTCGTGTGCCAATGAGCAGTTTCATGTTCTGTTAATTTAGTCTGTACGGTTTTGTTCCACACATCCTTGGATGGAAACTGGTTAGTTTTCATAAAGTGAACTATTATGGTCCATAATTCATATTTCTTTGCCACATTGAGTAGATCATGTGTTACAGACTTACTTTTGTCACTTCCTGTTAAATATTGAGCACACTTGAAATAGAACACCTTTTTCGGGGCATATCTGTGGCTGCTTCTACACATCCTCCCAAGGAACATCAGCTTCATTTTGTCAATCACAGATGTCATTGTCCACAATCCCAGCGTCTGAATAGTTGCAACGGTCGGAGATCTTACATGAAAATTTTGTACATTGCGTGCAAAGTAGCGATGGAGTTTTTCAATTTCATTGTGTTCTGTCTTGGACATATTTGACCACAGTTCACACGCGTAGAAGGCACCTGGAATTATTACTCTACGTCATATGTTCATACAGCAGACTGGGTTCAGACCACCTGCTCTTAGTCCAATACCTCTCAGGGAATTCAAATTCTTCCTCGCCTTGGCGCAAGCTCTCCTGGTCCTTTCGGATTCTAAATGAATACTGATAATAAAACCTGCATATATTGTGTTTGATTTCATTTCCAGTATATGGTTACCTAGTCTAAAAGAACATGGTTGGTTGATTTTGTTTCCATCTTTAAACACCAGAACACAGCTTTTGCTTGCATAATATGTCAATCTCCATTGGCAAGCATATTGATGTACAGTCTGTAAGGACATGCATAGGCCACTACTTGTTGAGCTTATGAGGGTTGTGTCATCCGCGAGTAGGACAACTGGGAAGTGATCACGTCCAAGCATAACACCTTGTTTCAAATGGTCAAGGCGGATTATAAGCACGTTAATATACACAAGGAACATCCAGGCGGATAAGACACATCCTTGTCCTACACCTTGTCCGATTGGGAACGTTCGACTTGTCTCACCGGCATATTTGACACATTCAGTAGATTCGTGATGCGACTGACGTATGATATGCCAGGCTTTCCCTTGGACACCAATTTTAGGAGTAGTCCGTTGTGCCAAATGCGATCAAACGCTTTCTCATTATCAAGAAACACAGTGTATACATTGGAAGACCTTTCCGTGTAGAAAGATATGACTTCTTTGAGTATGTAGGTAGCTATGTTTGCACCATGTTCTCGCCTGAAGCCACATTGTAATCTATGTGGGAAGTTGGGCTCCATATATTTGATATATCTCTCAATTCTCTCTAATAGGATCTTTTCGAACAGTTTTCCCACCACGGACGTCAGAGTGATACCTCTGTAATTTGCAGGATCCGATCTGTCCTTATTGTTTCCTTTATATATTGGAATAATTGTTCCAGATCTCAACAGTGCAGGGCTGTAGCATGTTCGTATCATCATGTTAAACAGCTGGGTTAAGTGTTTTAGAAGCATATCTCCAGCGAAATAGATATGTTCATTTGTGATTTGGTCCGGTCCTGGTGATTTTCTCATTTTTAAGCTTTGTTTCAGTCGTTTTAGTTCGTGTGTTTCTATGTCTCTCTTCAGTATAGGATCATCGTCCAGAGATCTTTGAGATGTTGTTTATTCTAGAGTCCGTCTCAACACGAAAGTCGTTGTCAAACTCCGGCCGGTCAAGAGGTGATAATAAATCTGCACAGTAGTCTGCCCACAAGTTGCACACCTCTGATGGTGTATTGCAACAGCGTTCTTTGTACTTGAGGTGTGTATTTACAGTCTTAGATAGTCTTTGTTTCTTTACAATCCTGTAGAATTCAGCAATATCTACTTCACATGCCATGTTTATTTCAATATATTTTTTTTTATTCCATTGTCTTTTGCAACGTCGGAAGTCACATTGAGCCTGTTTGTATAGGGTATACGAGTCGTTACCGGCACCCCGAGGCCTGTCTTCTGCTGACCACAATCTTTTCGCCTGGCGCATCTTGTAATGATAGAGGTCAAGATTTGAACTCTTCCAATAAGGTTACAGGTGAGCTCTATAGTGTCCACGTGGTATGAAGTTAGCAGCAGACGTCTTTAGTGCGCTGACCATCGAGTCAAAATAACTCTCTATTACATCAGCTCCTATATTCCCAGTGTCAAGCATTACATCACCAAGCAATCTGTGAACCTCGGCTTCATAGAAACTTAGTTCTAAGTGACTAACTTTTGTCCATTTGTATGGAGTCGACGGCATGTCCGCTTTACATGTAGTGCTGTTTAGCTTGTCATCATGTATGGACACTATAACAGGGAAGTGATCAGACACATCGAAAGGAGTTGAATCATATATACGTGTCTTGTTGACAGATAGTTGTAGATGTTGAGGTACAAATACATAGTCAATTATGGACGATTGTGTGAAATTCTTGTTCCTCCATGTCATTAGTTGTCCTACTACTTTACCGCTGTCATAGGAAGATACCATATTCCGCACAGACAGATACTCTTAGGCGTGATCGATGCGAGTTTTGATTATTGGTTATGTCTGTGTTGAAGTCGCCGCACAGGATAGTAGGTGTGCATGTAGGTGTAGGTGAAGGTGAACATATAGGTGTAGGTGTACATAGGTGTAGGTGTAGGTGTACATATAGGTGTAGGTGTGGGTATAGGTGTAGATGAAGGTGTACATATAGGTGTAGGTGTAGGTGTGGATATAGGTGTAGATGTACATATAGGTGTAGGTGTGCATGTAGGTGTAGGTGTAGGTGTAGGTGTAGGTGTAGGTGTAGGTGTAGGTGTAGGTGTGCATGTTGGTTTAAGTGTAGTTGTGCATGTAGGTGTAGGTGTAGATGTACATATAGGTGTAGGTGTAGGTGTGGGTGTAGGTGGTGTACATATAGGTGTAGGTGTAGACGTACATATAGGTGTAGGTGTACTAATAGGTGTAGGTGTACATATAGGTGTGGGTGTAGGTGGTGTACATATAGGTGTAGGTGTAGGTGTTGGATTGTTCGTTTACAAACAGTTCTCTGTTTCTATCCCGATATAATCTTATCTATGCAGAACCTGTCACCTGTTTGTAGGGTGGTGTCGACTTATTTCTCTTGTCACGATCGAGAAGTTCAGTTGATTTCAGGCTTGAGATGTATCAGCCATTTTGAAACTATTAAAAGTGTGTGATTTTTTGCGTTTTAGCTTATCGCCTGGTAATGACACCGTCACCATGGCAACAAATCAGAGTAATTGTGATCTGCCAACTTCTTATTTCTCTTTAATATTTGAAAGTATTCATATTTCGTTTCATGCCGTATTAAGTATATGAGCACGGGTGGTAAAGTCGCCACACCACAAATCGTTGAGTAGAGCTGCTTCCCAGAGATCTACCAGACTCGTGGGTTCGAATTCCAGATTTGCTCTGATTGTGATGTGACAGCACCATAACCGAGCTCGTGGGTTTCACCTAAGTGGTAAACGTATAAGACCTGCATCACTTCGGGTTTTTCTTTCAAAAATAAGCTGAAAATGTGTTACAACTGAAATACTGTTAACGACGCTCAACTCCATAAGACACTGTTTAGGTTTTGTGTTACGGTCTCGCGATCGGTTACTTACTCTATACACGAAATATATAGAGAACCCCTTAAGGTAAACAGATACTGAGAAATGAATATAGTAACTGTTTAAATAAAGGTGAATAAATACATAATAAAATATTTTGATATGTGAACTGTCGGAAATAAGCAGCAATCACAATGGATTAGGAATGGCTGCTTCATCTCAACAAACCGACATCCAGGTTATTTAATGTGTTACTTACGTTGTCCAAGAATACCCAGTCATGTAAAGGTACATATGACTTTTACGTCAATCTTTAGCATTCCTTTAGACGTATTCACGTATTTCTTATTTTAGGATATTTTGATTACTTTTTATCGCAGATTTAGAAAAATAAGCAATACAGAAATAAAATAGGACTCCACAGCTCACCTTGGCTATTCTGCTTCATCTCAACAATTCGACATCCAGTGTATATCATGTGTTATTACTTTGCAAAAGAATACCTAACGTCAATCATTTCCTTTAGGCCTATTCGCTTATGTCTTCCTGTTAGAATATTTTGATTATGAATACGCGGAATTGAAAAAAATAAGCAATATGGAAATAAAAAAGGACTCAACAACTCACCTTGGCTAATACTTGAAAATCTCCAATATTTTTCACATTTGCATTGGAATCATACTTGTACTGGTACTCAAACCCCGGTTCAAAGTTAATGAAACTTGAAGAAGCACATGTCAGTAAAACAACTATTCCATAAATTGCCGGAAAATGATTTCCCGGCATTTTGAAGAATAAATTCTTTTCCAAAGTTGTTGTATAGCTTTATTCTACAGTCTTACATGACTGAACTAAGTTTCAGCTCAATTCTACACACATGGGCAGGTGCAGTGTGATTGGGTCAGAGAAACAAGGAAGTTGATTTAAGTGAAAATATAGTTGTGACGGGTCCCTGCAGCACGGCGTTTTCTTCAACCGCCCTTGATACAAATCTCTAGTGGAGACACGTAACCATAACGTCTACAAAAGAGTATAAAATGTCAGTTTGAACCAGCAGTCCTTACGATCAACGAATTTATTCACAGCAACGTTGAGTACAAGTTTGAAGGCTTACTCTCGACAAAGAGATTTATGTCAATGCAGTTGTATGTATGAGATATTCACAATGGGCCGTGCATATTGCATATTTAATCTGAAAAGATATTATCAGCAACAGACAGCGGATGTTTCTATTGAATTGTATTGTACAATGAGGTGCAAGGGGAAAATCCACGACAAAGGGAAAATTGTTTTCATGACATAACTGAGCGGTGAGGCCATCCATTTGAGGAACGCGGTGATGATGACATCTGATAGGTACCAAGCTTTTGTCAATATTGGGGTAGCTTATTGTCAGTGGTGAATCTAGAAGAGCCACTTCCGAGTTCATTTTGCTTTGAAATCAGATTTTGTGAAAGGAAACTAGTATTAAAAAAACTAAAATGTGTGATTTAATAAATGTCATACACAATGGTCTCAAAGATTGTTTTGGGTTGATGTTATAGATATTTCATAACTGTGTCACTTAGTGGAATGGAGAGCGAGTGAGTTCTAGCCGTCTCATTCGGTATTATAGTTATATCATGCCTAAAATATTAAAAACATGAAACCGGGGCTATAGTAATGGCAAACCAAGGATCATTATCGGGGATTCGAACCCTCTATAGTCCGCTTGTTTCCGTTTCTGGACGCAGCGCTGCACAGAGAATGAACTTATTATTTATATGGGAATCGACACCTTCATACCAGGAATAACAAACATCGCAAAATAATCGTATAATGAAACTGTGTTTTAAAAGTTTAACGCCGCTTGCAACAGTGTTTGAGTTATGCCATTTCGCGTTGACTATTGTCAGGTGACCGAAGAAACACAGTCCCTAACACACAGGCCACACTCAACGCTATTTCCATTGTACAGTTACATGGTTAACTGATGGTTATAGTCTATGCATGATCCTTTGTTGACGCAGGATTGGCTCCGAACAAATACCATACAGTTGCCTTGAAGCGGACAAGGAAGTTTTCCTGAATGAGCCCATTTAGTCAAACTACAGTCGCACCAGGGTCATGATCACGTGTAGTGGACTCAACGAGTTTGTTTGAGAGCTCCTTAAATAGTATTTCAGTTACACCACGGTGTCGGCAAAATGTGGGCGGAAAGTGTGTGTGTGTGTGTGTGTGTGTGTGAGTGTGTGTCTGCTTGTGCCGGTGTTTATAGTTTCATAGTGCAAGCCCACAGAAATACCATGCAGGGATACCCACCAAAGACAGAGTATACGGACCAATCCTTGTTTTATCCTTTTTTAGGGTAAAAAAGTACCATCGTTTAAGGTCTTTAGGTATGACGCCGCAAAGGGGGTCGAACCAACCACATTCTGCTCTCCGGACAGACGCTCTATTCACTAAACTACGGTGGTTGTGTTAACCACATCGGTAAGCCACGATTACAGGTCTGGTACAGGTGAATCACAAGTACTTATCCGGGATTTGAAACCACAATTAGCGGATCCTGCCATGGCTTAATACAACGGACAGTATTCGATTTGTCTCTGCATCTGGAAAATATGTATAAACATTCTCTATTATGTTGGTCTGAGTATTTCAAATTTCAGAAATGAAAGTGTTTGCTTAAGGGTTTAATCTATGGCATAAAGCAGAGGATACATTTCTTGTTTTCCCGTTCATTAATTATATCTTCCAATAATTAGTTTGCATGTGCAATGTATGCCTGTATCTAAAGGATAATACACTGAAAAACAAAGGAAACTTTACGATATTTTTAATTCACTCTAGTTTAGAAGCCACAAAAGATAGACACATGAAGTAAAATGTATCGAAAAGATCAAAATCTCAACGAAGTTAACATTAAAAATGACAGTCACACATCATCCGTTATTGGCATCCGAATTGAAGAGGGGCAGCAAAACGAGCTTTCAATGTAATGGAAAAAGGCACACACATCTAAAATTTAAACTTCAATGACACGTCACATTAATAGCGTGTTTGGCCATTCCCACACAACAACACTGCGGCGCAGAGAAAAAGGCAGTCGTCAGATGATGTCGCGTGGGATACGTCGACATTCTTCTTGGAGGGCTTGGGTCAGTTCTTGTCGGGTGGGTGGAGAAAGGTCGCTCTCGAACACGACGATCCATGGCCTTCCAGACGTGTTCTATGGATGACGGCCTGTGGAACGTGCAGGCCACGGAAACTCAGCAATATTTTCCAGCTATATGACGGCGGTCTGTAAATAATCGAGTCTGGACAAGACAATCCAGTGATTGACATCATGAACATCGATCCACGCAATTGGGATCGATGACATGCATCAACCAATGCGGCGAGTCTGACCACCCGATCCTGTTAGTCGCCTTTTACGACAAGCATCGTCTTCTACCCCGGATCTTCACGGGTCTCCAACATACGGCACGACCTCCTGAACGCAACTAGCTGTAAGTCGTTCTCCCAATCGGTTGTAAACTAGCCGTCTTCCAGTAGCTCTGAACAGACAGAACCGGTTTTTATCAGTGAAGACGAACAACTGTCAGACACGTCACTGCCAACGACTTACACTCCGGGCCCATCTGACGACAATGTTGCACTGTCACTTACTGTTCTCTATGAGGTATGTAAATCGAAATTTCTCGTTATTTAGATTAGTTTCTTGTTATTTCAAATGTATTTAAAAAACTCGAAATTTCGATTTTGTTCTCTGAATTTCGATAATTTTCTGTTTATTGCAATAATTTTCTCGAAATTTCGAGTTTTCGAAAATGAACTTGAAATAACGAGAAAGTAATCGAAACTACGAAAATATAATCGAAGTAACGATAAATAAACCTCGAAATTCGAGAAAATAAAAAATATTTGAAATAACGCGAAATTTCGATTTAAAAAATATGTAAATGCTACCAAAGTGACATCATTAGGCTTTCGTAGTTTTGCTCTATAATACTTTGTTGTGATTCTTATCGGTGGGTGAGTGTGGTTTTAGGCCGTTACGAGCAATATTTCAGCACAATAACGGTGGTCATCAGCGTGACGAGCGAACGCTTTTACAATTAGCCTACCCAACCGCCTTATTATGTTTTAAAAGTCAATGTGCTCTGCTGGCTCTTGCCTGAAAACTAGCCACTAACTCTGGTATTTCTGGTACAAATAATACCCACATTAATGTCAGAACTGGTTGTCAATTTACACTGTCATATGTCTCCATTACTTACATAATGGTCTTAACCTACTGTGTTTTACATTTCAGAAATTGGTTCACTGCTGATTTGGTAGTAAGGGTTACATTCAAAGGATAAATGCTTCTTCTTTCGACCATGACAAACTAAAGCAGTGGATAAATGTGCAAGATGAGTTTGTACTTGATTTGGTAGTTTTCCGAAATGGGATGTTGAAAGGGGTGGAAGGCAATGAACAAATGCAGGAACAAATAAATAACAGAACAAACAAATATATCGATCAAAGATTTTTTTTAAAAATAGCTATGTAAAGTCAAGATAATGGTATAAATACAATTGTGGCAAAATCTGGTAAAAACATATTTCTCCTGAAACAACATGTTTCCCCTACGCACCGTGAGCTCGTCCACGATCTTTTCTCGGAAATAAGCTAGCTGTGGCCACATGAAAGCGCACAAATGTTTATTTTAAAGAACAGCGTGAGACTGACACGACTGAATGAATCACGATGCTTGTAGACAATTGATCAATACCACTTGCACTTATTGCACTGATCAATACCACTTGCTACAATGTCGGGGGCATGGGTGGGCCAGTCGTCTAATTCGCCGCGATTCGCTGTGCAGAGTTGCGTCCTATGATTGTTGGTTCGAATCCCGGGTATGGTTCTAGGTTTGTGTTTTGATGAAATGAATAAATCCTGTTTCATGACCTCAAAAAAATTATTATGGTTTATGATCAGTTGTTTGATTATTGCATCTGCCTGAACTCAAATACCCCCTTTTTTTTAGAATTCGTTTTGAAAATATAGGCCAAGACATATTACCAGGCACGCCATTGTGTTTGTCTTTGATTCACCAGCATCAGCATCGAATGCCTACAAACAATGGTGCTTTGAAAGAGAAAGAGTTCCGTGGATATTTCGGTGTTGAATTGCAATTTAGCCAACTAAATGAGGATGTGTGTTGATCGTGGTTTATGCTATCAACCACTAGTTTGATTAGACCATACTCCATCATTGACAGCCAACGTGATATAGCTGTGATATGACAGACTGTGGCGTAGAATTACCTGCACTAAAACTGAAAAACAAACAAACATGGGAATGAATGCTAATTGGACAAAGAAAACCGATTTTTTTAAGATCACTAGATATATCGACCATTAATCAATAAATCATTAAATATAATCAAACGCACAAATAGAAGAATCAAATTAGCTTGTATTACTTGTTTTAACAGTATTTCAGGTATGTCACTGGGCATCAAATTAATACGAGAAGAAAGGCCAAAGTGACTTGGGTGAAACTTCCGAGCATTGAAATGGCGCTGACCGATCAAGTCAGTTTGATATTATACCGCTTTCAACTATATTTAGTGAATAACGATGAATCAGCTTTATATGAGAGAAAATACCATGTGTTGTAATGTGATTTACGCTCATCACAATAATGAAACATACGAGTATGGATCATAATTCACGATTGAGGTATTCCAACATCATAACCAGCGGATCCTTGCATGACTAAGGGACGCAACTCACCATAGCGAATTGCGGACCACTGATCCACTCGTGTCGTTCACAAGGACATGAGCCTTCTGTCAAAAGGAAGATCAAGATACAGGGTAGGACA